ATAATTTCTGCATTTATGTGGTATTTAGGCCAGGTAAACTTGCTTTCCTTGTATTCCTTCCAGAAGCAATTTTATTATTTGATTGTTCAATTGAAGTTGAAGTGGGTAAAGAGTGGATAATATTGGGGCAAAGTTAGAAAGATGAGCTTCCCAGTGGCACACAGCTTTGCTTGAAATATGGCTGAGGTCAGGGTTTGATCTGAAGTAGTGACCAAGTTTTAACTTCTCTCTTTATACCTCTTAAGCAGGTTCATAATTTTCTGTAGTTTCTCCAGCAATATTACATTTGAAAAAATGGAGGGCAGTTGATAATGATAAGTAAAACAAGTGTATCAAATTCTTTAAAATTCTCCTTCTATATCTCTCAAATCACTTTTGGAAAATGTGTTAACTTGGTTCATATTTTATGTGGTGAATTTTTCCTATTAGTTAGTGTGTATGTTATTTAGGAACTTCTAAATGTCTCCAGTATTGGAGCTCCAGTGCCTGTCCCAGGTGTGGGAATTTAAAATCCTGAAATGGCATTGATGATCAAACAGGCACAGAATTCCCCAATTTTTAGAGATTTCAACAACACCTACTACTGATTACTTAGAGAGATACTCCCTTTCAAAGGCCCTAACAAAATAAATCCTAAATTTTCCCTTTTTAAGTTACTTTAAAAAAAAAAGAATAAACAACAAATTGTCATTTTATTTACACATTTTTTAGCATTTTTAAGTACTTTAGCATTTTTCAACCCTCTGCTGAAAATGGTTGAAGAAATTAAGGCATAGCATAAGTAAAGATCATGCCATCTATTGGTGAATTGCTTATGGCTACATTTATGGAAAGTAGCATGGCTACACTGGGGTTTTTTCTCCTTTATTTCCCAGGAAGTTGTTTGTCCAGCTATTTAAGAACCAGTGTCAGTATGTTAGCAAAATGCTAGCAAACGTGTTTTTTTCTCATGCTGTCCTGAATGCTTGTCCCAGATACAGTGGAAAATAGAGGAGCACACCTTGTTCTAGTTAGTGATGCATCAAAATTGTTCATCAGCTGTGTTCTGAGACAAGAATTTGTGCATATTGCTTTGGCTACATTGTTTTATCATCCTGTGAAATACCCAGAGAATGGCATTGACTATTAATTTATTCACCACCTTACCATTGGCACGTCCTAAATTTCAGTAAGTTGTTTACCTAGAATGATAATTTGCAGTGTAAATGATCACAAAGCATTTAAATGCCACTAATTGTAATGAGGAGCAAGCAGGCTGGCATAGCAGTGAGTAAGTGAAGCAGTGTGTGTGGGACTGAAGCAGCTCACTGATTTGCAGTGTGACAATATAGTTTAAATCCTTCTTCCTATTTTCAGCCTGGAAATCAGAATCTATTCTGCTAACCTTCTGAGCTTCTAAATTTCGTGTCATGCAAGGGCGTGTTTAAAAATTAGCATTTAAAAAGAAACCCACTTGCTTTAAGTTTAAGCTGACACTGTTCCTTTCCTCTGTGGAAATGAAATTTATTAATCATAATAAAACCATCATATTCTGAAGGTAGAGGTCACCCTGAGGAGAAAAAAAAAAAGTCTATTCATCACAGAGGAATTTCAATGCATCTTTTTCACAGATAATATCTGAGCATGTGTTCTTTCCCCTTTGGAAATATTTTCATCCATGTTTGTGCTTACGTATGTCAAGTGTATTCAGGAGCATGCAGAAATGAAAATTGTTCAGTTTAATTTTATATATTTTCTTTTACAGAAGATTTGGAAGGATTCTTTTTACATTTTATTTTGTGTTTACATTGGACATATTTGTTTAAGTGGAATTTCAATATCCTGTAAAAGAAAAACAAGTGTTTGTTGTTTTAACAAGAATATAAGCATCACTAATTCTGCAGTAACATTTCTATGTTAATATCACAGTAAAAGCTTTAGCATTATTATAATATAAATATAAACCATTCTTTTTAAGGAGCAAGGATTAACTTTGGTCACAGTTCTCACATTAGGATTTCTTCACAACTCTTGTTTTAAGAAAAGAGACATGGTTTATATAGAAGGATGGAAAAAGCCATGTAAAACACTGACAATAAGTCATTGCTGCTTTGGAAAAAGGGTAATAAAAATGTACTCAGAAGTCAATACTGGGTTGAAACAGTCATATTTTCATCCTTTGAAATTGCTTAATGTGCATGTTTATCCATATTTTTCCCATCAGTGGTCAAGATTTCTGTTGAATATTGATATAATAATATTATTAGCAACATGGTTTATTGCATCAATGTTGTAAACTTGACAGTTACTTCAGGAGCTGGCTTAAATGTAATAATAATTTAATACAGCCTGAGCCCTGGTATCCAGGCTTGGTCCTTCCTTACAAGAGGCCCTTGTATTTGGGCTACTTGATGCCATCCTAGGTGACCTCTTGGATTCTGGTTGTGAGGCAGTGGGACACAGCCCAGGGTCCTGCAGGAATGGGAAGTGGGATGGAGGCAAAATGCAGCCCTAGCACTGGACCAAAATCAATGTATTTTTTTACAGATAGAGATTTACAGCCCTTGCTCAGCATTGCAGTGATACCAGATAATCAGGAAAAAATAAAAACCAAGGAAATATACTACTTTCCATTGATACAAAAGTAATAATCATGGCATAAAGCGTGTAAAATAATAGTATATGCAATTCCTCTTGCATGTTGCTAAGGGCATGAAGGAAATATGTCTGCCTTTAAATTAATTGTTTTCCCTTCCTAGATATTTTCTTACTGTTGGAATGAAATTTGGCTGGGAAGAATTAAAATAATAATGATACTTTAAAAATTGGCATAGAGCAGTAGTGTCTTCTTCCCTTCAGTGCAGGTAAAAGAGACACAAGGGGTTCTGTTATTTCAAATCGTGTTTTTCATCCTAATGTGGAGGTTCCAAGGCTGAGGGTTATGGAAGTTCTTCCTACCAGAGAAGTACAGAGTGTGTCAAGCCTGCTCAGAGAACTCTCAGACTGCTTTTCCAGCTCAGAGAGTCACCAAGTCCTTTACCCAACACAGACTGATGTGAGCTGCTTTCCTTCCCTTGCTTTTCCAGTGGGAATTGCCCGTTTCCTTTCTTGGATAATTTCTTAAGATAGGTGTTCTTGGATGCCAAGTATTTAAATAGAATATATATAAAAATTGAATCCCTTACTCATCAGTGCTTTGGAAGCAAAAGAAGAACTAATATATATTATATAAGCCTTTTACACATATTTTCCTGAGTTTCAGACCAGGTCTTAAGGAAAGCAATTGCCTAACACACTGCTAGCCCTGGAATTTCATGTACCCCTCTGATAGCAATGAAGACTTCTCTACCCAAATCTGAAGCAAACACAGCTGTGGGGTGAGATACAGAGCCCACACTCACGAACTTGGGGTGCTTAAATAAATTCATTCATTTTTAATGTATTATCCCTTCATAGGAATTTGGATTTACTAAGCAAACAGGGCAGTACAACTGGAGGCTTTCAGCTCCAATGGTTGCACTTTGAAGTGAAACATCCAGGCTTTAGAATGCTTTATAAGAACATAGATACTCTTACACTTGCTGAAAATGCTGCACTCCTGCTGGGGAGAAAAAAAAAAAAGTCTAATTCAAAATGCTGAATATGAGCACCTGTACACTTGGAAGTTTGTTCTTACTGAACTGTTTTCTACTTTTTGGTTTTTTCCATCAAGATGTGTGGTTATGTATTCTTGGAAAAGGAAGGCATTTGATTTCTCTGAGTGTGGGGCCCTATGTTTGTGCAGAGAGTGAGAGACAGGGATGTTCAGTCTGTCTTTTCCATACTGAGCACTTTAGTGGGCAGAGTTGTCACAGGAGGTGATTTGCTGGATTTCCATATGAAAGGAATGCCTCATAATCTGGGAAATGTTGGCTCAGTGAGATGGAGAATTAAGGATTTATTGTCTATGGTAATTTCTGCTCCCTCCTTGAAGATGTCTCTGGGTAGGTGGGAATGTGTAGTGCAGATAATTTGGTCCTTTTCTCTACCTCACATCCAGGACCCACAGTAGTGGGTGGTGGAGGATTGCATATGCCATGGAAACATTCCTTTCT